TTTTATACACCAGTAAAAAACAATCTTGAATTTGGAAAAAAAACATATTTTATTTATCACTAAAAAGGGTTCAGTGAATGCGCATACGAAACTGGTGGGTTCGGTGCCCCAAAAAAGGTTAAGAACCACTGTATTAGCACATGGGCTCAGGAAGACTTCAGAAAACCCAGAAAACTAATAGCCGTGTTCCCATCAACAATTTTTATGCGCACTTTAGAGTATTGGATTAGAAAAGGTGAATGGAGATGCCACAATTCGAAAAAACTTCCTCTATTTCGCAAAAATGTTTTTATGCTTGCTTGAGGTGGTTTTTGGACTTTTTGAAAAGGAGTTAATGCRCAAAAGAGGAGATGGAAACACATTTGCCAAATAAATTCTGACCTAACGAGCGTTACGATCAGCTATTCCCACTGGCTGTCCGGCGTCTTCCCAGATTTTTCCCGTGACATAAATAAAATGTTTTCTCTACGTCTCTGTAACATCGCCAAAACTAGTCTATACAACAGAATATTTATAACTTTCCTGATAGTAGCAACATGTTTCTGATAACTTGTCCTGAGGTGTGTCCCTGCGAGTTTGTGACTTTACTTCCTGTTTACTACAGCCATGCGTAACATCAACATCTGAAGTAATTACTTTGTGTACCTTGAATCGCTTTAAGCCAGTTGATGGAAACACATCTGATTCGCATTTATTCTTTTTTAATTCCTTTTTGTGACATTTTAAATGTTGGCCCGTAATGTGAATTAAATTGGATGGAAACAGCTATTACCAGTGAACACCGTGCAACAATGCTCTATCATGCAAAAACAAAACCTAATATCAACAACACCTAGAAACACCGCTCTGGACCCGAGATCGTCTGAGATGGACTGACACAAYGTGGAAAATGTTTTGCAAATCATTATTTCTGTTGTTATTCATGTTTTCCACRATGTCCCAACTTCATCGGTTGTAAATCTCAGAGACACCGGGGACACTGAGAGGGTTTCTATCAGAGTCAACAGACAAACAAGGAAGAGAAAAAAAAACACAGCGAGAAGGAAAGCTCCCGATATCAAAAGAGCAGGATTACAGCGGATCAATCTCACGGAGCATCGATTGATTCTGCAAACACTCTGCAGCCTGTCGGTCAGGGCTGAACTCAGCAAACGGCTCCTCGTTTGCAAACAGAGCAGAGATAAGTGGACGTCTCTGCAACGCTCCACGGCAGATCCATTGGTCATTAAAGCTTCAGCTGAGAGGCTACAAGGGAACCAGGGAGTGAAGTTCCTCCAGCAGTGGATTCATAATTACACAGATAAACTCCAAGAAATAAAAGAAATCTGAGCTTGCGGGCTTTTATCTGGAGAACAAACGGCTTGTCGAAATGTAAAAATGACTCCGGCTTGATGCAGTCAGTCAGTATAACTGCMCTCAAACTGTCAGGGAGGGGTTTTGGTCTTTGAGCTGGAAGAAGACAGCAGGATTTGATTCTCAAAGAGCTCAGATTTGAAGTCCGACAGCGGAGGACCAACTCCAGTTTCTCATTAAAACATCAGAGTTTAGATCCAAGCAAGAATCTTTCTGAATATTCTACAAATCCCAGGCTTTAGCACATTTTCACTCATACGTATAGTAAAAAAATAAAAATAAAAAAAGATGGCTGTGATTTGCCGCACATTTCAGTTGGACTCAACAGTAAAAACAGTTACAGAATCCTGCCAAACCGTTTCACAGAAATCCCACCAAACGAGTCAAGAAACACAGAAACACATCAGAGAAAGGTTAGAAAATATTAAACACAAAGACAGGATCTAAACTCATCAGTTTAACAAAAAGAAGCAAACCCAACAGACAGAACTCTTAACAAATATCCACAGCAGAGTTTCTGTGTGATAGAAGAGCTCCTGCGTACAACACGATGCGTTCAATGACTTGTCGTATCAGCTGTTTTTCTCCATCAGTAAGAGGTTCTAACCTCCCACTCACTGAATGAATGAAGGTTAATCTGCGTTAATTCACAGAGCAGATATGAGTCTGGCTGTGTGTTGGAGGCTGCACCAAAAACAAGAAAAAATAAATCCCTCCAGTATCAATAAAGAATTACTCCTCATAATAATTTCAGTGAGTTTGCCTTTCCTCGTGTTTCTCTCCTCACAGCGTGAAGCTGCACGTCTGGTCCAGAGGGACGAATAATTAGCTGCTATTATGCTCCTATTTGTTGTCTGCTTCTATTAAAACGCTAAATATAAAACCCGTCTGAGCTCATTTTTCTCCACTGATGTAAAGATTTACACGATGCAGATAACATCCAWATGTTTTAAACACTTTATGTTGGGTTTGTTTAACTCTGAGACATTATATAAACTAGGTTTTACACTAATGGGTTGCTCTTGTTTGGCTTCATAAATGGAAAGGCTTGTTGCAGCTACCTCACATGCAAAATGTTTTCCATTTTAAAAAGCCTCTCATGCTTTTTATGTAAACTCACTGAAGTCATGATGAGTCGACGAGGAAATCAAAGTCCTTCATTTTCCTCCAAAATCAGTTCAGAGGAGCCACAAACATCTCCTGCTGGTAAACCAGATCAAACTGAATCCCTCGGGAATTCTAAACAATGCTAATTGATTCACATAGTTTCTGTACTTTGTGACTTTATACTGCAAAAAATAGACAAATAATAATAATACATTGGTTTTACGAGTCATTTCTTGTGCTGATGCTGATGTAGACATAAGAACTGAAAACTCCTCTATAATGAATAAAATAAATTTTATAATAAGTAAATTTTTGTCTCTGGTGTCTCAACAGGAGGCCTTTTATGTCAAAAAGCCCTAACCAGCCAATCAGAGGCTGTGTGGTTGTCCTGCAGCCAATCAGAGGTTGTGTGTTAGTCATTCAGCCAATCAGAAGCTGTGTGTTTGTCCTGCAGCCAACCAGAGGCTGTGTTTTAGCATAGCAGCCAATCAGAGGCTACATGTTTGTCATGCAGCCAATCAGAGGCTGCGTGTTAGTCCTGCTGTCAATTAGAGGTTGTGTTTTAGCACAACAGCCAATCAGAGGCATGTCTGCAGCAGCTTCCTCTGGATCTTCAGAAACAGAAAAAAAATTTCTAACAAATCAGAGCTAATTTAGGAGAAGCGCTGTCCTCTAATCTGTGTGGATCAGGAGCTTTCAGAGGCTGTTCACTTGCTGTAAATCTAATTTGTACTCAGAGTTTCTGTCCTGCCAACAGCAACTAATTCATTCTTCCAATCAGAGCATCAGCAGCAGCCCCACCTATAAGCTTCTAATATCTCTGAGCTGAGGAGAGATTCTGCTTCTTTTTTCTTTTCTCTGCAAGAAGGTCAAAGATCAACACGTGTGCCTCGATCTGTTAGGAGTAAGTCTCTCCTTGACCTGTTCTCAACCCCGGAGAGAGAAGGCTGCACTGACCTTTAAACCACAGAGTGCTTCGTCCTCCTGCCTCGAAAAGAACGATCAGATCGAGCTGCGATTCGAGCAGCCAGGAGACCACAGAGAAATGTAAAATGGAGAACAGGAGAACTGGGAAACCAGCCAGCGCTGCCAGTAAAATCTACCCCCCAGCGATAGATACCGAGGCCTTTAGAGACCCGTGATGTCATCTTCAGATCGCTGACACATCAGCTGTCGCAGCCAAGATCCAGACTTTTCCTCAGCTTCATCAGGACGAGTCTCCTTCACTTTCTATTCCTCATTCAACAAGCTGAGGACAAGTCTTATCAAATAAACAATAAATACTTCAAACCTTTAAAAGTCCTTCATATAAAAATTCATTATTGACGCCTTCAAAACACTTAAATAAGAAAAAAGATAATTTATGATCAGCTGTAGTTTTATTTTAATCTTTTCAACCCTAGATAGAAAAGCTGATTTCTGTGAATCTTTTTCTCTGATGTGATTTCAGCTCCTCAAACAGCTCCATGACAACAGCTGCTGCCAGTTACAGATATTAATAAAAACATGGAGCAAAACCATCGAACGGCTGATCGACGTCATGACAAACGAAGAGAAAACATCCAAAACATCAGACACAACAAAGCTAAATCTGCTTCAAGCAGAGGAAAACAGAGAAACGTTAGCCGGTAACGACACATGAAACACAGGAATTCAAAAAAAAACCCCTAAAAAAATTCATCTTTTCGTTGGAAACGAAAGCAGCTCTTCATCACCGCAGAAAACATCCGATGAGCTGCTTCATCTTAAACAAGAACCTCTGTTTGAGGGGAGTTCATCACCTCCCAGAATCCTTTGCTTTCTCAGAGAGAGCTCCTCCCACGTTTTAGCAACATTTGAACCGACCTTTGACCTCACCTTAGAGGAATAAGCTGAATCTGAAGGATGACATCATTTCTACATGCTATAGTAAAGGATATTTAAAAAAAACATGATAGAGTTCAGAGTTTTATTTATAGATCAGTCTCAGCTACTACCACCTCAAATTTGAGCTCGATGTCTGTAAAACTGACTGAGTTACGGCCGTTTTTATGTTGTTCGTTAGCTGTGGCGACCATCTTGAATCCTGTCGACTTTAAATAGTGAATCAGCTGAGAAACAATAATTAAGYAGATCCACATATGCCTTCAGACTAGTCGTTAGCTCATCATTCTGTCAGAATTAAACTATTCCTCCAGAGTAAGGTTGTGACCTATCTACAGCAGGTAAGATATTGTTTTTATATCTTTTCTTCAGAACTGCCTTTAAAGAACAAACGGTGTTTCTGTTCTGGGTCTTTCCGGGATTTGAGCGGCTCACCTGGGCTGAAATGGGAGCTGAGGGCAAAGCTGGTTCTGAAGAACACGGAGGAGACCAGGAGGACCAGCATCTTCTGCAGAGACCGAGGAAAACCCGGGGAGCCTGCGGGGGTCTGAGAGCGGAAAACCGGGAGCTTATTCACGGATCAGGGACTTCATGTCTCCTCCGGTCTGCGGGTTTTAATCAGATCCTGGGATCCGCACTTCCTCCTCCTGGCCGCTGATCCGGGCTCCGATGCTTGGGTTCGGATCCTTCATGAAAGCTCCGGAGCTGTCCGCGGTGCTGACAGCCGCAGCGCCATCTTGCTCCGTAATGCGCACGGACCGGGTTTCTGGAGCGTTTTTGCGCCGCGTCCGCAAGGGGGGAGGAGGGGGGAGGCTGCCCGAGCATCTTCAGCTGACAGAAATACACAGAACGGAACCGAAAGATGCGGAGGGAGAAGCTATTTTTACAGCTGAACACAGATTTATCCTGTGGAAGCTGCAGAGCTGAGGTCCTGGTTTCACAATAAAACATTAAAACACATTAATCCTGCTTGTTGAATTGGTCACAACTGGGTTTGAAATGTCCAGATCAGTTTTTATTCTGCACCTTCTTGTTGTTGCAACTTTCTTATATAACATAATTTATTATTTAAGGACTCAATGTTTTCTCTTATAATGCTGCCATGAATATAAATAAACTCACAGCTTAAAGGAGACATATATGATGCTTTTAAATAATTCAGCTGGGGTCAATATAAAGTAGAACTGCAAGGCTTYGGTCTGACTTCCTCCTTACTGTAAGTCCACAAACCCCGACGCTTTTTTGAGGTGCGTCTCAGATCTACTCGTTTTGAGGCTGTCTCTTTAAAAGGAATCCACGATTAATTGTAACATTAGACTTTGTTTGATGAACATTTATTTTAACTGTAAAATAAAGACTGTAAAAAATACTGTAGGCTGTTTAGTTTAGTAAATCTTTAAAAAATATATTTTAACACGGATGGAGCCATTTTATTTACACGCAAAGCATTCTGGGTAAATGATGACGTGGATAGGTCCTCGGTGCGAGGCTGCTAGCGAGCTATATCCACCCTGAAGGTTAATCTTGGACAATATCTGATGATCGACTCTTTTAAATGAAACCAGAGAGCGTTGACAGAGAGGAGAAGGTAGAAATGACTCAACCTGGAACTGAAAATTTGGATGGAGGACAACAGAGCTGCTTCATGGAAGAAGAACCTCAGCTTAGCCTGTTAGCCTTCACGCTAGTGCTGACGCTATATTGCCTTATATGTACTAGCTCGGTGCTAGCGCGACAAACTAACAAGCTAAACTGAGGTCCTCCATCCATATTTTCAGTTACAGCTGAGTCATTTTTGCGTTCCCCTCTCTGTCATGTGGATGGAGGACCTCAGTGACGAGAGGAGAATGTGTAGCACGGAGCTAATACATATATATGGTGATAGCATCAGGGCTAACACTAAAGCTAACAGGCTAAGCTGAGGTTCTTCTTCCATGAAGCAGCTCTGTTGTCCTCCATCCATATTTTCAGTTCCAGGCTGAGTCATTTCTACCTTCTCCTCTCTGTCAACGCTCTCTGGTTTCATTTAAAAGAGTCGATCATCAGATATTGTCCAAGATTAACCTTCAGGGTGGATATACTGTAGCTTGCTAGCAGCCTCGCACCGAGGACCTATCCACGTCATCATTTACCCAGAATGCTTTGTGTGTAAATAAAATGGCCCCATCTGTGTAATATATTTTTAAACTTTTAGTTTAAAAATGACAAAAACTAAACATCCTACAGTATTTTTACCATCTTTGTTTTACAGTTAAAATATGTTTTATCAAATAAAGTCTAATGTTACAACTAATCATGGATCCCTTTAAATACAAACACCTTGCCAAATTCCAGCTTCCAGAGYGGTCCATTCTAGTTTGACAGAGAGGTTTACGACTATGTAGCTGCGCAGAAACTGTTTGCAAATAAAATAAAAGACGTCAACAAGGGAACATGGTCCATCCAGCATTACATGTTGGAGCCAGAGGAGAATGAAGACAATGACATTATAGTTGATAAGTTCAGACCTTATTTAGAAGTTCCATCACTAATAATATGACAACATAGTTCAGAAAACGTAATAGAAAACTGCATGGGTTGAAAAATATCACCCAAACAGAATACAGTATAAAGATATCTACGCAGCACTGGGAGAATTCAAGAGACTTCAAGTATGCAACAAAATGCATTTATATGAAACACAAACAGATTTTCACTCCTTTAAAATATAATAAATTGATTCTAAAAACCAGTGGTGGGCAGCACTAATCTAAATATTAGTTGCTCTAACCCTAAAATGTTAACTCAAATATTTAGGTCCCCTAATTCTAACGCACTAATGCACTAAAAATATAGCAAAAAGCATTAATATTATCCAGTTGACACATGAAACATTCTTCAGAGTCAACATGAGACAGTATTTACTCTGCAGCATGTTGTTACTTGGTGCTCTTGGCGGGCCAAATGGGAGTCACCTGCTGGTCACATTTGGCCCGCGGGCCTTGAGTTTGACACATGTGACCTTGTAGATAAGTGACACACTTATGAACAAAATGTGTGACAGCTTTCACCCTCAACTGTGAACAATAACATTGATGAGTAACATTTAAAGASCTCAGTTAGCGCTTCTAAATTTAGCCCATAAATTTAACAAGTACTAATCCACTAATTAATTTTAAAAAATAGCAAAAACCCTAAAGCACTAATCAGGAAATTAGTTCCTTTATTAGTGCTTTAGTGCTTTAGGGGAACCGTGCCCACCACTGCCAAAAAACTCATCAGTTAGCATCGACTGCAGCAGCTACAAGTTCTGCAGCTTTTAGCGACATCTAGTGGCAAAAATCACAAACTGCAGCCAACTGAATCCCACCTCCTGAACTCAAAACTGTCATTTGATTTGTCTGCTGCAGGCTGGAGTGGCACGGTGCAGCAGCGGTTAGTGCTGTCACCACACAGGCCACAGGTTCTCCTGCCAGCCTTACTGTATGGAGTTCACATGTTCACTCTGTGCACTGTGTGGGTTTTCTCCTGTTTCCTCCTAAAGACTAAAAACATGCGTGTCAGGTTCAGTAACTGTGTGAGTCACAGTTTCAGTCTGAATTTCTGCAGCTTCATGATGGGACGAAGAAAGAGGAGGAAGACAGTTTCAGTCGGACTATTTCAGATCGTTTGATTCCTCCGACWGGAATAAACCTCCTAATTTTTGCTTCCTCCTCCTCGCTTCCTTTTCTGCTGCCTGTCTGCTGTTTCCGTGGAAACAAAACGGAGAAAAGATGGAACTCAGCAGAACAGAAAGAGATTTTCAAACACGTCAAATCTGACAAACCTCAGGTGCAACACTTTATCTCTGGGTCTAAACCTGCAAACTGGTGCAGAGATGCTGCAGTTAGTTTTTATCATCATCCACAGTACAAACAGCTTAATGAGGAAGTTTCCATGTTTGTTTGAGAGCAGCTGGCGATGTTGGAGATTCCTCCGAGTCCTGCAGGCAGAAAGAAAATCCACAGGGAGGAAAACTCTAACCAGGAGCTGAACCATGGGGAAACAGAAACCACAAGTCTGCAGACCAGACTTTAATATATATATATATATAT